CACATGCGCGTATTGTCCGTCAGCCAAAGATGGAGTACGCCCTTTCCATTGTTGTTTCCATTTTTCTCCTTTTTGGGATACACCGGCAGAGTGACAAGCATCACGTCCCTGTTCTCAATCGTCGCTGTGATGAAACCGCTCCCGCGTCTCTTACCTTCCTTTTGGTTGTTGCCCCACACGCGCGAAAGTGTCCCGAGCGCCTCCGTCCACGAATCCCCCTTGTCGGCGGACTCGTGCACCCTGCGGCGGCCATCACCACACGCAGTCATCATCATGAGTTTGTCCTTCCACTCCACGACGGAGGGATCACTGCAGCCATCGTCAGACATCCCCTTCGACAGATTCCCACCATCAGTGGCTGTGTATATGATCAGCGAAACGGCCTTTCCATCCTTCGTGCCTTCCACTGGGAACACAAGCGTACCGTCCTTCATCTTAAGACCCGATCCACCGCCGCCAATCAGTCCTGTCAAGGATTCGTGTTGCTTTTCAAAATAAGTCGACGGGATAACGTAAGCGTCGTTCCAATAAATTCTTTTATCGCTGCCCTCAGTACTGACGTTGCCGCTCGCCACCAAAAGTCCCCATTTAGCTGCTGCAGCTGTCTGATCAACGCCTTCAGTAACTTCAAAACTGTAGGTTCCAGCAAGCATGTGAATATCGCTTCCCTTCACAACTGTTGTTGGCCGGCTCACACGTACTTTTTTCCGGCTTTTGGAATCATCATCATCCTGAGCTTCTGTTTGGGAGGCACAACCAGTACTTTCGGCAGGACATTCCTCCAGTACTTGTGTCTTCAATTGAGTTGCATCAAACTCCTCTTTTGATGATTCTTCAGTCAACGTCAAGAGCTCCGAGGCAATCCCAGTAAAACCGCTCTTGCTGGCTTCCGTGCACTGCGCCTCGGCAACGGCAAACACATCACCATTCACCTCAACAAGACTGGGATCACGGAGCAAACTCACTGTTTCTCCTTCTTTTTTATCTCTCCAATCAAAATATTTCTCCGGTGAAGTTCCCTGAGTTGAAGCCCCCTTATTAGTGGCTGCAGCTCCACCACTGCCGCAGCACATCATCACGACGAGGAGGAGCAGCACCGCGGAATTAAACGCACGCCGGGACATGTTGGACCTCTGCCGCTCACTCTCTCTTCCTTCCCTCCTCCTCCCGCTGGATCCGGTCACGCGGCGACGGTTGTGTGTGCGGGGTGCCTTCACTGCAGCAACAAGTGAGAGCATATAAATATGTGTGTGTGGGCGGTGTGTGTGCTGTTGGTCCTTTCAGTGGCTTACAATTTCACAGTAACGTTTAGCGCTTGTTTTCCTTCTTTGTGAGGGTGGGAAATAAATAAAGGAAAACATGTCAAGAAAGAAGTACAACAGCAAACACCGACACCCATCCACAGTGAGTGGCATCATCATCCCTGCCGCAGTCACTCCCAACAACAACAACTCACGCGCACAGACACACGGAAAAAAAAGGAAGATCACTGCACCGGGAACACACAGCGACCGCCACCACCAGCAACAGGAGTCACGGCGGGTGTGTTGTTCGTCACGCGTCAGCACACACCGCGCAACATGTCAAAAAAACAAAACGCAGGCTTCTTCTCTCCTCACGAGGGCCTCCGCAGCCACAATCCTGTGCGTGCGTGCATTCTCAGCGTTTGCAACACGGCATGTGTGTGCATGTGCTTGTGTGTTTGGCAGCGCCTATACTTGCAGAGCAGCTGTGCGCCACAAGAGAGTCCGAAGAAAGCAACGGCAGAGAGAGGCAGATAGCACACACGCAAATTACTCATATCATCACACACACACACACGCACGCAGCCGCGGAATGGGTGCACTCAACCACAAAATCAAAAAGGAAAACAAAACAAAAAGCCGAAGCGTGGGACGACCAGCGCACACACACTCTCATTACTCCCGTAAAGCAAAACACACACAGAGGGAGAGAGAGAGGTCGCCCACTCAATGCAATAAAAACAAAACAGAAACAGTTACGGTGCTCCGCCCATGCAGCCAGGCAGGACGGCAGCGGTGCGTGTCGTGCAAAAGAGAGCACCAACGGGCATGCATGGGTGTGCATGCATATATACAATGGGCACATTATTGTGTGTGCCTCGTGGGGTGAGGTGAGGGCGAGAGTCCATGCAAGGGGAAATACAAAGAGAGAGAAGGAAGAGTGTGTGTGCGGGCGGTGCATGGCTCTCTCACACTCACTCTCACGCGGCCACCACCGCAGCAGCAGCCGCACACGCAACAACAAGTAAAAGCAAAAGAGGGGAGGTGGTGTGGGAGACCGCGGTGCTGCTGTCACTGTCGCCATGAGAAGCTGTGTCATTTGTTTTGGCTGTGGCGATTGCTTTTGTTGTTGGGATTCCTGCATTCTGAGCGGCAGCCTTCTCTGTGCTGTCTGATGCTTCTTCAGTATCGGAATTCGTACTGAGCTCTGCGGTTCTTTCACTGGAGGGTTTTCTCAAGCCATTTTTGGCCGGATTGCCTTCTGTGTCATCGTCCGACCGCAGGGCCGTAGCTGCTGTGGGGCTGCCTTTACTGTCGCCATCTATTGCCGTCTCACTCGTGCTAGCTGCTGTCGTGACTGGCGGTTGTATTTTTCCCTCACTGATTGTCGGGACAACATCTTTTTCGAGTCCTTTCTTGTCGTCCTTCTTTTCTCCGGCAGCTGACCCCTCAGTATTCTTCGCGCCATCTCCATTCGTACGACTGTTCTCAACACGATGTCCACCTGTAGAAGAGGATTGCGGAGTTGCTTCCGGTGAATCGTTGGCTGATTCACCCTGCGACAAATTCAACAAAACTCGTTGTTTATTTTGATCCTCTGGCAAACTGTTAATTGGGCGTACCCCCGTTTCAACTCGTTGGGTCCCATCCAGTGAATTTGACCGCAATTCCTGCTGCTCAGGCAACCGCACGTCTGCCACTTTAATTGGATTGCTTACAGGCCCTTCTTTATCTTCTCTTTCATGTTCAGTGGCAACAACGTCTTTTTCCGTTACTCTCGGGGATTCTCGCACATGCGTGGGTGTTGATACCTTCTGAATTCCCGTTGTTTCTGTTTCTGAACTTGGGCTTCCTGATGCGGGTGGTTTATGTTCCGTGGATTCCGGCGGAACTCCCCTTCCACTCGCGAGATCACCGGGTTCACTCTGCAACAAACTCGGTGGATCTTCTTGTCGTCGCTGAACTCTTCCTTCTGGCGGAGTGTCGTCGGAGGGTATCGTTTTTTCACCTCCTTTTGCTCCATTCGGTGACGGCCGCCGTAAGATCTCATCGTCGGTTGAGTGCAATTCCGCCTCTGCTGGTGCATCGCCTTCAGACACCCCTTCACCTCTTCCTTTTTGAACGGTTTTCACTTTTTCACCATCAACTCCAACTCCACGGCGATCCGCTTCATCTCGCTCAGCAACGACTTCATCCTTTTCTTCCAAAACATCGTCTGAGCGTCGGGTCGGTGATTCTTCTTTAACTTCTGGCGCCTGTGGTTCCACGCCCGGTATGACTGGGGATGACAATTCCGTTTCTTCCAATTTTTTGTTGTCCCCACCAGAAACAAAAACATCGCCACCGCCAGCATCATCGGCCGCAATTCCAGACACCGCACCACAGCACGCAGAGAACACACACCAGCAGCAGACGGCCAGTCATCATCGCCAGCACTCCTGTCACTTGCGTGTAGCCTTCAGCAAAAGTAACAACACGTCAACAGAGAGGGAAGCAAAAAGAAGACACGGCCGCTACACCACGCACAGCAACAAATGGCAGCACCCCAGCAGCAGCAGCGCACACACCACGAGACACATGGAATCAGTACGATTGCAGAGCTCGCACACTGCACCGCAAACCAGAAGTTTAAAAAGCAATAAAAACCAATAATTAAAAAACAGAAATTAAAAAAAAACCCAGGGCTCCAGTGCGCATGCTTATGAGTGTGTCCGCGATGCGTTCAACGTGGCGGATGCGGGGCACAACGCGGAGCACACAGCACGGCAGCAGAAGCAAGTGAAGCAAAACACAATCATTATTTCCTCTTATTTAGTACAGTGAACCACAACACACACGCACAAATCCCCGCGGTTGAGTGCTGGCACGCACAGCCCGCACACACCTCTTCAGCCCACAGCGGTGTACGCCAGCACGGATGCGGCGAGCACCAGCGGGGCACACACCCACGCAGAGCTGCTGAGGCTGCCGTCGATTTCGCGAAGACGCGACGGTGCGCGGGTGGTCGACACAGCTGGCGCCTCTGTAGTCGTAGTGCTTGGTGCCTCTGGTGCAGTGGTGGTCGTCGTGGTTGTCGTAGTAGTGGTAGTAGCCGCCGTGGTCTTCTTGGCCGAATCGTCGGCATTCGTATTTGCATGGTGTGTGGATGGATTATTGCCACTTTTTGAGCCTCTCGCATCGTTTTCGCCATTTTTCTGTACCGTATCGGCCACCGGAACTGGACCCCCTGAACTGCCGGATCCACCTGAACTCTCTTTTTTAATAGGCGCCGGACTTGTTGAACCTGGACTTCCTGCCAGAGCGGTCGCCCCACTTGGATTTTCTGGCAGAGCTTCTTCCGCACCTGGAGCCCCTTGCGCATCGGACTTTCCACTTTTTCCCGATGACGCAACGGCCGCAGCTGCTGAACTTGACGTCGTGGAAGTATTTGTTACCCCTGAAACACCTGTTCCCTGTGACTGAGTAACCGAAGAAGTGGGGCCGTCCCCACCTGAATCCTGACTACTCGCTGTCGCGCACACGGACGGGCAGCAGCAGTACAGGGCGAGCACCAACAGGGCGCACAGCAGACGGCACGTCATCATCATCGTGAGTGTGGTCGTTCAGTGGTGTGGAGCTGATCTGCACAGTGAGGGACATGGAGAGCAACAGGGGAGACGAGAGGTGCGGCAGAC